GACTTTTCTTTTTAAATTAACAGGAACAATGATGTTACAGAGAACCAGATTGTGGAGTCTTTAAGTATTCTAATATTCTAGAATATAATTCTAGAATTCTATAATTCTAAAAAAATCTAGAGAATTATCATCATACCCAAATTTATGAATGACATAAAAATCTTAAAATTGTTTTAAATATCACTCTTACTTCTGAACCACACAGCACTATTTGAAGCCTCTTCTGAAATGAGTGTTACAAATTTATTTTCTATTAACTGAAATCTCTAATACTCAAAAACCACTGTACTATTAAAAATGAAATATTATGAGGCTTGAACTCATTGGTGGAAGTTAGCAGTGCTAAGAAAAATATTCTCCAGCACGAGTAAAGATTCCACAAGCTGCCTCAAAATATGTAGTGCCACCTAGTAATTTAAAAATAAAACCAGAAACATGGAGACAAAACAAACAACATTGATAGACTGAAATCTGAAACTGAAAGGACTTATTCTTTTTCTTCTGCCACTCAATTTTTATACTGATAGATTTGAAAAAATTTTTGACTGAAAGGGTTTGATCTTTTACCATTACCACAACCATACTCTCAACTGCAACGACACTTCAATGATCAGGTACACAAACACAGAACTGTTCACTAGCACTTCTTTTTCTTTTGGGATCTTAAGTTGGTTAAATATAAAAAGATAATTGCAACTCAATGTATTATTTGACAACATACTGATTTTCTGTACAGAATTCCGATTCTTATTTGTTGAAAGAAAAAATACTGGACATCAAAACACGTTGTTCTTCTGTGATGTCACTACCTTTGCACAAATATCACACACATGAATTTTATACGTGTAATCCCCATTTAATGTCGGCAGAGTCTTCATGTAGCTTTCCCTCACATACCAGCAGCACACACACACACACACACACGTGCACTTCACCTTCCACACAAGTGCTGTACAAAGCTTTTCCCAACATGAGCTAAGGTGCAGCAACACCTAATGCTGGACACAGGTTTGCTTTGCTCGGAGTCACCACGTGAGCCCTACTGCTGTAACCAGATGCCACTGGAAACACACAAAACCACGCTGCTTCAGTCAAGTTTGCAGATGCTCTTTACATGGAAAGAGAATGCTATTATCACAAACTTCACTCTCATTGTATGATTTATGAAATAGGAAACTACATTGTCAAAGCTATGAAAAGGAAAACCCAAAGAAGACCCAAATAGAAGGCAGATAGAGGGAGTAAGACCTGCTTTGCACAAATTACCCCTGAAAGATTGCTGCTATACTACAACCACTGCACATTTATCTTGCTGGTTCATAAATTTCAACAGTACTATTTTTTTATTATTATTATTTACTTGCTAAAGTAATAATATAATCCCTAATATCTACTGGTGTATTCACTTCCTTGATCAATACATCAACCATTATGAAAAAGTGTAGAAACCGACCCCCAAATCTTACTAAAGCAAGAAGTCCTATGATGTTTGATTGCTGCAATGACAGACAGACTGAGTAAAGATCACAGATGCATCCTTTATAGGAAAGTATAATTTAAAAACCATGCAACTACATCACAAAGTTGTTATAGAAACAGCTGAAAAGCAAAGTCAATGCAGAATCCCCACCCCTCTTAATGATTTTCACAGTCCCACTCAAACATGATGCAAATAAAAAAACAATGATGAAAATCTCTTAAAGCCCAGCACAGAATGACATATTGAGAATACACCATTGTCCTTACCATGGCTTAGAATTTCACTGCTTTAGTCACTGAGCCAAAACTTCTTCATAGCATTAGGTCCTTTTATAAAATCATCCGTTAATACAAGAAAAATCAAAACCACTTCTTTAGTAGCATGAGTTATGGAAATTACTATTGAATTGTGATGTCTTGAAAGACACACCTATACAGGACTAGCTGTCAATATTGAAACATCTCAAGACCTTTCAATACAACATCTCAATGTGTCTTCCACTCTAAGAAATACTGCTGACATGGTTGCAAAGGGAATAAATACAACTATATCTTCCTTGAATTTGACCATAATAAAAAAAAAAATCACACTGTTGAAAAATGACAGAAGCCTACAATCTTAACTTCAATCACTTTTTAAAGTCTGCATGACCTTGAGTTGCTATTATTTAGTTAGCATTGTCTCAAGTGAAAATAATTGTACCCTGTCTCTAGTCTAAGGCTACACAAAGTTGCTCTCCCCTTTAGAACATAATCACCAACAAGCCTGTTCTTTTTTCACATTTTTTTGCCAGTGTGATTTATAACACTGTTTTAAGGTCTTAGTCCTTAAAATCAATCTTTTCCACTACATTTAAGGTTGTTTCTCCATTCCTGATGCCTNATCCACTGCAGCCCAAATCTTGACAGAGGCATAATCAACAAACAGGTAAGATTGATTTGTACTGTCCTGTTTGAGAGAAATATAAATACTGAGACAGAAATAATTTGTAAAATCAACCACTCTTAGCACTTTCTTAAGACATTTCATAGTATATTCTAAACACTGCAAAAATAATATATAATTGCTAACACCTAAGTTACATATTTCTTTTTCATCTCATTTTAACATTATCATGAAAACATACTTGTGTATGTTTGATATGGCTGTTGGAGTTCATACCCAGTAGAGAAGTTGCTTTATTTTTACCTAAGCATTCATCCCTTCATGAAGTAAAGTAGTTGCAGGAAATACTTTGATTCAAGTTCAACTCAGTTTAGTTGTAACCCACCCAAGCCTGTATTCAGACCAGAATTTGCCAAGATGAGCAGAACTCAGGAACAAAGGTTAGAAAAAATTAATCATAATAAGTGCTAGTAATTTTTATGCAGCATACTATTTTGATTTTAACATTAAAAGGGTGGGGTGTTTTTTGTTTTTTTTTTTTTTTCTCTACAAGCTTCATTTTGATTTTGAAATAATTTCTACTTTCAGATAAAAGGAAAAAAAATAGGACTTTTCTGCAATGTGGCTTTGACAGAGACATAACAGAATACAGTTTTCACTTAGTGGGACAGCCTTAGATACCTGTTGTTTGAGCTCACTGATTCTCTGGTACCAGCAAGGCATAAATCCATATGAAGTGAACATTGTATGTCTGCCCCTAAATCCTGCCCTACAGCAGGAGTAACTTTCTGATGTGGGACTGACATGCAAGCAGAATACAGCTCATTCTTCAGAATCCCTCTACATACAAAAAGTAGTTTCTGACCACCATGACTTTTAACTATTCCTAAGCCCACACCTAGGAAACTTTCTTCACAGCTGCCAAGGACCATGGCTGCATCACTAGAAGTATGTACTGTGCAGAACTCCAGAACAGTTTAGGAAAAATTGTAAGTCTTTGTGTGAACTTTAACTGAATCAAGAGCCTTCTAAGCCATGTAAAATATCATCATTACCTCTGTTAAATCCAGTCTATTGTATTTCAATAGGAGCATGAGAAACACAAGTGAAACCATTTTCAGACTCTAAAGAGGGCCATTGGATAGCATAGAGATATTTGAAAAACAACGTTTTTGCATCTTAACATTGTTAACTACAACCTATATACTGACATAGGGCATAATGAAGGAAAATCCAGTATCAACAGTTGCCAAACATTTGTAAAAAATTACATAAATATTTACCTTTTGTGGGAGAGTTAAAATTCTCTTGCTCTTCAATGAATTAAATGCACGGAATGATGGAAACAGAAAAAGAAATCAGCAAAATTGAAGTTAGATAAAGAAATGTGTTACATGTGACAATGGCATGTACAGTAGGCAGTACTCCAGCATATGTAAAAGTAATGTAGAAAATTAAAGTGATAAACCATGACAAATAATAAAGCCTATGACTTTTCTTTTTAAATTAACAGGAACAATGATGTTACAGAGAACCAGATTGTGGAGTCTTTAAGTATTCTAATATTCTAGAATATAATTCTAGAATTCTATAATTCTAAAAAAATCTAGAGAATTATCATCATACCCAAATTTATGACATAAAAATCTTAAAATTGTTTTAAATATCACTCTTACTTCTGAACCACACAGCACTATTTGAAGCCTCTTCTGAAATGAGTGTTACAAATTTATTTTCTATTAACTGAAATCTCTAATACTCAAAAACCACTGTACTATTAAAAATGAAATATTATGAGGCTTGAACTCATTGGCGGAAGTTAGCAGTGCTAAGAAAAATATTCTCCAGCACGAGTAAAGATTCCACAAGCTGCCTCAAAATATGTAGTGCCACCTAGTAATTTAAAAATAAAACCAGAAACATGGAGACAAAACAAACAACATTGATAGACTGAAATCTGAAACTGAAAGGACTTATTCTCACAGAACTGTTCACTAGCACTTCTTTTTCTTTTGGGATCTTAAGTTAGTTAAATATAAAAAGATAATTACAACTCAATGTATTATTTGACAACATCCTGATTTTCTGTACAGAATTCTGATTCTTATTTGTTGAAAGAAAAAATACTGGACCGTCAAAACACGTTGTTCTTCTGTGACGTCACTACCTTTGCACAAATATCACACACATGAATTTTATACATGTAATCCCCATTTAATGTCGGCAGAGTCTTCATGTAGCTTTCCTTCACATACCAGCAGCGCACACACACACACACACACACACGTGCACTTCATCTTCCACACAAGTGCTGTACAAAGCTTTTCCCAACATGAGCTAAGGTGCAGCAACACCTAATGCTGGACACAGGTTTGCTTTGCTCGGAGTCACCACGTCAGCCCTACTGCTGTAACCAGATGCCACTGGAAACACACAAAACCACGCTGCTTCAGTCAAGTTTGCAGATGCTCTTTACATGGAAAGAGAATGCTATTATCACAAACTTCACTCTCATTGTATGATTTCTGAAATAGGAAACTACATTGTCAAAGCTATGAAAAGGA